TTTTTTTTTTTTTTTTAGTTTTTTAGGAGTGGTCTTTAAAAGCCTAATTAACTGTACATGCATGGAACAGCTGATAAACGGGACAATATACTCGTGAGCAGTGATCTCTCCTCCCTCCCCTCCAATTCTTATTCCACGGAGAAGTTAAGTCACCTTGGTCATACATTATTATTCATAACTTACTCAGCTGAATAAACCAGTCAGCCTCCATGGCCGTTTTAACATAAATTCATTTAGACATGCAGCAAGGAAGGATCTTCACATACCTTTAGTCAACAGCCTTAACTAAACAACATTGGATAGAAAACTTTTATCCTAACTGCTATCCAAAGTATCCGTATTTTCTTTTGTCAGCACGCTCCCAACTATTGGAGGTCTCTCGTTATCAGGCTGCTTAACAGTAGGGAACCATTAAACAAAGCTCTYAGAAAGGCTGCCTAGAAATACTCTGTCCTTGGGGGGTATGCCCAAGTTAAAAAGGACTGCATGATGAACGGGAACTGTTGTTTCTTCGAGCCACACACACACGCCCTCTCTAAAGCAACGAGCCGGCACCAGAGCAGCATTTCAAAGCCTTATCCTGGTGCTCTCCCCTCCTCCCCTCCCCCAGGTAGGAAACCCTCCGAGGAGCGCTGGATTAGCCTGACATTTCGGGCTAAGCCGAGCAGGGTTTCAGGCCAAGGACACTCCGGTGCYGTTCCTGCTGCCGGCTGCCAAGCGGTTCGCCCGGGACCGAGGGAGGAGACCTGGAGGGTCAAGGCCCGGCTGGCGGCGGGGGTGTTCCCCAGGGAGGCGCCGCATCCAGGGGCGGCGTCTCCGGCCGCTGCCGGGAGCGGCGGTGGGAGCGCACTGCGGGGCCGGGCCGCCCCCGACCGGCCCGCCGCCCCTCGCCCGGCACCGCGCACAGTCCCCGCCACCCGGCCCCGAGGCTCTCGCCCGGGCTCACCCCACTCGAGGAAGTCGGACACGTATCGGTCGCGGCGGAGCGGCGAGTCGCGGCTGCACTCGGCGTAGACGCCGACCAGGAGGTCGAGCAGGGTCTCCACGCTCAGCACGCTGTCGTGCCGCTGCGGCCCGTCCAGCACCAGCTGCTCCAGCCGCTTCAGCCGCACCTTGGCCGACATGGTGCCGCTCGGGCGGCGGGCGCGGGGCACGGACGGGACGGGGAGAAGCGAAGGCCCCGGGGCTCAGCCGCGCTCAGCCGCCCCGCGCCGCCTCCCGCGGCCGAGCGGCTCCTTCCACGGGCTCCGCCTCGGGCACGGACGGTCCATGGGCCGGACCCGGCCACCCCCGCCCCGCTCCGCTCCGGCCTCGCCCCGGCGGCGGGGAAGGGCCGATCCCGCTCCCGATCCCGCTCCTCCTCCCCGGGCCCGGCGCGTCCCTCGGAGCGGCTCCGGCCACGCCCACCGCGCGGCGCCCGCGCGCTCCGACGTGGGCAGGGCCGCGCGATTCCGCGCAGGAAGCTTGGGCCGGGCGGCGCCCCGTAGCGGCAGATTCGCCGCGGAGGGTGCGAGGGGCGGCGTGGGGTTCGCGTCCGCGTCCGCACTTTCGTGTATGTGCCCGTGTGTTATCCTCCCTCAGGAGATTCTTTGGTGTGAGATCTGTGTGTGCTTTCAAGCGTGGCAAAGGAGCCCTAGTGAGCGGAGCAGGCAGCAGCCAGYATCCCTCACTCAAGGACGTGCTGGCACTAACAATCCTTAAGCATGCAGTAAATCACGATGTTGGTGTGTGTACGTGCACAGAATCACAGGCTCATGGAAATGGTCAGGGACCACAGGGGGCATCTTGCCCAACCTCCCTGCTCGAACGGGGTCATCCCAGAGCACATGGCACAGGATTGCATCCAGAGGGCTCTTGGATGTCTCCAGTGAGGGGGACACTCTGGGCAACCTGTTCTAGTGCACGGGCACTGCACAGTGAAGAAATTCTTCCTCRTGTTTGGGTGGAACTTTCTGGGCCTCAGTTTCTTCCCATTGACTCTTGTCCTATTGCTGGTCACCACTGAGAAGAGCCTGGCTCCATCCTCTTGACACCCTCCTTTCAGATACTTKCAGACATTGATGGGGTCCCCTCTCAGCTGTCTTTTCTCGAGKYTGAACAGCCCCAGCTCCCTCAGCCTTTCCTCCGAACAGAGATGCTCCAATCCCCAGTCATCCTTGCTGTTCTCCACTGGACCTGCTCCGGGAGCTCCATGTCTCCCTATTGCTCCCTTGGGCAAAACACTCAAGATCCATATATTCTATATCTGAACTATCTTAAGTATAATACTAAATACACCTACAGGTCAAAAAGACCCCTGCCTAGTTACGATCCTTTCTCTGAGTGTGKGTAGAAGTTAGCTGGGGTTGTGTAACTTGTATGGAAGTGACTGACCTATCCTGATAGATGGATTGAGCTTGGAAGCTGCTAACTCTGAATTTCTGTTTATGTATTATGGCACAGAAACTCCGGTGGTTTGTGCTTGATTTGTGAAACACCACTGAGCACCTAGGCTTGCACAACTCTGAAATAATCAATGTCTCTCTCGAGTGTGCAGTTCTTGGCTTGTTGCACATTGGGTAATGACTCCCGTTTTGTGGACATGTGTGTCCAGTGTTTGGCTGCGATTCCCTGCTCTGTGACTTGCCTCAGTGGCAGCAGGCGCGGGGCTGGCAGGGTAGGCATGGCTTTGCAGCAGGACTTGGTGTCTGGAAGCTGTGGCTTTTTATGCCTTTCAGAACCTCCCTGGTGACAGGACTTTATTTCCCAGCAGCAGCAGCTAGTCCTGGCAAAGAGAGCCCTGTGTGTTCACATCTGCTGTCCTTGATGCCTTGAAGGAGAAAGGAGCTGCATGTAAGGCACTCAAAACTTTCTGCAGCTCTGCTTTTTTTCCCATCACAACTTATTCTGAGAACTGTTCTCTCTKCAGGCTGCAGCACCTCAAGGCAAGATGCTGAGTAGCTTGGGATGGGAGTTTACTTCTGTAGGAATGCAGCCAGTCAGGTCCTGATGCAAAGCTGAACTGGCAAGGATGCTGTTTCCTTGCTCGTCTCCCCCGGCAGGTAGTTGGAGTGCTGCGCGTTCAAAATCATCGCACCGGAGAAGAGGCAGCCGGGTGCTGGTTCTGTCCGGGCTGGGAACACCCTGCCTCTGGCAGCAGGAGCTACACTGGGGTTTGTTCGTGGTCAGACACGACATKTCACTGCTGAAAGACCCGGACATTGCCATCTGTCACCTCCAGGACCAATGGCAAGGCTGCACACGRGGAGCTGCCCTCTCCCAAGGGTCAGGAGCACAACCAGGCAGGGTGAAAGAGTATTGTGCAGCAGAAAGTATTGCTTCCCATTGACACAGAAGTCCAGYAGATCATTACAGAAATACTTGTTTCTAGGATCCCTTGGCCCGCTGGCATTTTTGATATCTCTTTAACAGTAGTTATCTGTAACATTTGAGAGCTATTCAGTGCATAATGTTAATTTTCAATARTAATACCGACCTGTACATTTGGACCCAGTACCTGGCTCAAGAAGATACAGGCATGCTGGGACCTGTTAATTCTAAAAAATGCAAGTCGATAGAAGATCCTGTGAATCATACAGAGAACCTATAATTTTAAAACAAAGAAAACCCACAGTGGACTAAAATAGTTTTGTTTTTCCTGAATAACTTCTATCTCTTTGTACTTYCTTCTGCAAACATCCACTTGGAAAAAAAAAATATTTCACAGAAGATCTCGAAGTTTTCATTGTTCTCTCGCTGTGTTCCTCCTTGGTTACAGTTGTTTCATCTGACCTCATAGTGTGTCATATCACAGATACATTCATTTACAGGATCCTTGGTATTTTAACAATGACAATTGTTCTGGTTGCTTTATTTAAAAGAAGAGGCTAACATTTTCAGCTTATTACCACTTTGGAGAGTCATTTTCGGGCAGTTGATCAGAGTAATGGCCGGGAGAACAGAGTTTTAAAGATCCTGTTACAATATCTGTCATTCCCACTCTTATCTGTCCTGCAGGTGGTGATTATCACCTCCTTCAGCAAGGAAGAGATAAAGGAGACTCGGTGAAGAAATAGCCATCTCTGCCTACATATCGCTCCGTTGTTTCCAGTCTCTTCAGTCTGTTTTACATYAGCAGAATTCAGAGGTTTCAGGAGCTATTCCTGACTTACACCAGTAGCGGAAAGAAGCGGGTCCAGTGCTGGCAAAACGACAGATGGGTGACAGATGATATTGAATCCGGCTTTAACAGCTATGGAAGGTTTAGTACAACAGACCAGCACGTGCAGGATTATTTATGAGCGATACTGTAGGTGTTCCAGAATTAGTTGAAATTTTATTTTAAAAGCCCTTGCAAGAGTTAAAAGTCTTGTGCATTGTAAATAATTCTGGGTTTTCACAGCAAGGGTTTCAGCTACAAAGCACCCTACTGAGCTAAAAGGTGACATTTGGTATTCCTACTARGAATTGTCTGTAAGCTTGGAAATGTAGCTGAAGGTATTCTGCTTCTGTTACTCATCTGTGCCAATTCCATAGGCTAAAAATAAATGTGATCTGGCTAAAATGAATTAAATGATCCATCTTACCAGTTCCTTTTTCCTATGGCATATTTAAGTGGAAAAATGTAGCCTCTTTTTCTGGAACGGATCTCATTTTAAATTTGTTAAGGTGGCTTTTTT